AACCGACTCGATGGCACTTAACAACAACAACAACAACATATAATATATATATAGTTGTTAAATGCCTTTGAATCGGTTCCAACTCACAGCAACCCTGTATAGGGTTTTGAAGTTTTTTTCTTTACAAATGAACAAAAATATATCATTCAGTCATATTAAATACTTAAAGTCCAGTCCCTATTTCCTGTACAGAGCTGAAGGTCAGGATTTTATGCCAGACCAAGACTGAGTCTTAGCTGTCAATATTTATATATATATATATATATAGATGATACTTTCAAGCTCCTTTCCCTGTAATGCTGGTTCCCATTTTAATATTTTCCTACAATGACTCCTGTTTTACTCTTATCTCAACTAAGTGGCTCTCAGAAGAATCTCACGAATTCTTCCTTAAAAAACAACAATGCTATTTTAGTATGTGTGGGTCTCCAAATACGCTTCCAAATATTAGAGAAGACTTTATAACCACTAAAGAGATGTAGGATTAGCACTGGACTGCAAACCACAAGGTTGGTAGTTCAAATCCATCTGTTTCTCCTCGGAGACCCTCTCAGGGGCTGCTATGAGTGGGAACAGACTCGATGGTACTTAACAACAACAACAACAAAGAAATGGAAAAGAGCTGTGGTAATACAATGGTCAGTCAGTCGTCTGCGAACCAAAAGGTCCATGGTTCCAGCCTATCAAGAGCTGCACCAGGGAAAAGACCTGGTGAGGTGCTCCTGGAAAGATTGCTCTTGTTTATTGCTAAGTGGCCATCGAGTCAGTTCTAACTCACAGCGACCTTGTACAGGGTTTCCAAAGAGTGGCTGGTGAGCTCGAACCTCCGACCTTGCAGTGCCAACCGACACTGCCATCCAGCACATTAACCCACAGCGCCATACCAGGACTCCCCTGTAAAGACTACAGCCTGGCAAACACTCTGGGGCAGTTCTATTCTGTCATATGAAGTTGCCATGGAAGCACCTGCCACCAACAGACATATGAATGTGTCAAGTAACAAAAATTAATAACACCATAACTGACCACAAATCTTTGCCTAAAGTTCCAGTACCCGAAATAAAGAAATCTATTCCCATAAAGAGTGGATTTAGCTAACTTCTCTACTTACACATTCATTTCTTGCAAATTCTCAGACGCAAAATAAAAGGTCTTGATCTCTGGATGGCTGATCTTAAAAGCACTTGAATGGGAAAAAGCACAGACAAATAAGCCATTAGTGTTTGCAGGAGTCATTGAGTTTGAAAGGATATCAATCAACTAAAAGCACTGTAAGTTTTTTTCTTTACAAATGAACAAAAATATATCATTCAGTCATATTAAATACTTAATATGTCCAGTCCCTATTTCCTGTACAGAACTGAGGGTCAGGATTTATGCCAGACCAAGACTGAGTCTTAGCTGTCAATATTTCCATTCTTATGGACATACGCTTTTTATTGTCACTTGCTAACTGCTCTGCTATAAAATACAATTGATGAAAATTTAGAGTGATAGAGGTGTCAAAGCAAAATCCTCCGGTCACCTCTTTCTTTCAAAGCATTTATTCAAATTCAATCAAGTATAAACAAGGATTTTATTTATAGAAAAATTCCACACTGTGAAAACATAGGAAAGCTCATCCAATGTGCCCTATAGTTGTAAAGAAAAAACATAAGGTAGATTTTAGCTTAAAATAAAAAGTATAAAACATCGAAGATAACCATCAATGTTACTATTGTTGTTGCTAGGTGCCATGGACTCGGTTCTGACTCATAGCTACCCAGTGTACGACACAACAAAAGATTGACCAGTTCTATGTTATCCTCTCCGTCATTGTTAAGCTTGAGCCCATTGCTGCTGACACGGCCAATTCATCTCAATACCAATTCATCTCAACTCATGGAAGTTTTTCTCTTTTTCACTGACGCTCCACTTTAACCAGCATGTTCCCTCCTGATGGTATGTCCAAACTGTGAGAGAAGAAATCTCACCATCCTGACTTCTAAGGGGAATTCTGGCTGTACTTTTTCCAACATAGATTGGTTTCGTCTCCCAGGAGTCCATAGCACTTTTAATATTATTCATCAACACCAGAAATCAAATGTATCAATTCTTCTCCAGTCTTCCTTATTCATTGTCCAACTGCCACATGCATATGAGATTAATGGAAATATTATAGCTTGGATCAGGCATGCCTTAGTCATCAAACTGAAATGTTCACACTTGAACACTTTAAAGAGGTCTTGGCAACATATTTCCTAGTGCAATACACCATTTGATATCTTGACTGCTCCTTCCAGCAGTGCTGATGGTGGATTAACACAACTTGCATGTTTTCACCATTTATCAGAATGCTATTTATTGGTCCAGAGTTGAGGCGTTTTGTTTTCTTTACACTGAGGTGCAACCCATGACGAAGGCTGTGGTATTTGATCTCTATCAGTAAGTATTTTAAGTTCTCTTCACTTTCAGCAAGCAAAGTTGCATCATCTGCATATCGCAGTTTAATGAGTTTTACTCCAAGACTGAAGTCATGTTCTTTTTCTAATAATCCACCTTCTCAGATTATTTGTTCAGTATACAGATTAAATAAGCATGGTGAAAGAATACAACCTAGGAGTACAATTTTCCTGAAATTAAACCTCTCAATGTCCCCTTATTCTATTCAAATGACTGCCTTTTGGTCTATGTACAAGTTCCTCATGAGCACAGTTAAGTTTTCTGGAATACCCATTGTTGATAATGTTATCAGTTTATCATGATCCACACAGCTGAATGACTTTAGATAGTCAATAAAGCACAAGTAACATCTTTATGGAATTCTCTTCTTTCAGTCACAGTCCATCTGATGTCGACAATGATATCCTTCATCCCACGTCCTCTTGTAAAGCAGGCTTGAGCCTCTGGCAGTTCCCTGTCAATGTACTGTTGCAGCCATTCTTGAATTATCTTTAGAAAAATTTTACTTGCAGCAATATCAATGATATTGTCCAGTGAACTCCACATTCTATTGGGTCACCTCTCTTGAAATGGACACAAGTATGGATCTCTTCCAATCAGTTGGCCAGGTAGCTGTCTTCCAAATTTCTTGGCATAAATGAGTGAATACCTCCAGTACTGCATCAGTTGGTGAAATATTTCAATTTGTATTCCATCAATTCCAAAAGCCTTGTTCTATGCCAATGACTTCAAGGCATACTGGACTTCTTTCTTGAGTACTACTGGCTCTTGATCATATGTTACCTCTTGAAATGATTGAACATCATCCATTCCTTTTTGTAGAGTAAGTCTTGTGTATTCCTTCCATATTCTTTTGATGCTTCCTGAATCAATTTGTTTTGCCCACAGAATCCCTCATAGTTCAAGTAGAGGTTTAGAGTTTTTTTCAGTTCTTTCAACTTGAAAAATGCTAAGCTTGTTCTTCCATTTTGATGTTCTAACTCCAGGTTTTTTGCATATATCATTATAATTCTTGACTTTGTCTTTTCAAGCTGCCCTTTGAAATTTTCTGTCCAGCTCTTTGACCTCCTCATTTTTTTCCATCTGCTTTAGCATCCCTAACACAGGAGAACAAGTTTCAGAGTTTCTTCTGACATCCATTTTGGTATTTTCCTTCTTTCTTGTCTTCTTAATGACCTTTTGCTTTCTTCCTGTATGATATTCTTGATGTCATTCTACATCTAGTCTTCTGTCATTAATGTTTAATGCATCAAATCTGTTCCTGAGATGATCTCTAAATTCAGGTGGGGTATGTTCAAGATCATATTTTGACTCTCATAGTCTTGCTTTAACATCAATAAAGATGTTACATAGCTTCTTCCACTTTACCATTTAGACTGAAAGGTTTGCTGTATGACTCAGGGGGTTTTGTCAATAATCAGTCTTAGTCAAAAAGAAACAAGAATCAACACCACCCCATAGATCCCTGGACACAGACCAGCATAGCAAAGACTTAAAGCTAACGCCAGTTTACGAGTTTTCTTAGGGGGTAAAAATGTATTAATTGTTGCAGCTAGTAACATAGATCAGAAGGGAAATAGTCCTTTCTAATACGACTGGAAAAGATGCCAAAAGAAAAAAAGAAAGGAGACTAGGAAAAGAGGGCCTATATATAAATATAGCTGGAGGCTCTCACAGGAAACACTTTTGACTAGGAGTCAGAATTTCTGCGTTCAGACTTGAGAGCTGTGATTCCAGGCAGGTCACAGCTATCTCATCCTCTGATACAAGGAGAACCCTGGGCAGGTGACATCTTGGATCCCTGACAGGACTCAACTCCTCTGAATTTAAATATGTCAGGTGTAAACCCTAAATCTGTGACACTGCTGAGAATTTAATCAAAGTGAGCTACTGACAATTCAATGAACCAATTTAAAAACAAATTGACCTTACTCTCACATCTCCTTAACTCTGATGAGTCCTCTCTAACCATGACTCTAGCTCTTAACAAGGACATGACCTTGACACATGTCCTCTGCCAGTTCGGGATGGGAACGTCATTATAATCCCATCTCACAGATGCCAACACAATCCATGCCAGGGATTCATGGGTCTTTCAAAATGAAATCCCAGAAAATAAGAGGTAAATGCTCTTATTGCTATGTAGCATATCAGCCTACAATGTTTCATATTCTCGAGCCATTTTGAGTGCTACTGTCGTTAAGTCTCAGAACACTGTGAGGGGCTAGTGTCCAGAATCAGAGTTCTGTGTGGGAAGAATGATAGACAACTTACTGCTTTTTCTTGCATTCACTTGCTCTTTCCACAGTGAAATCAGGCAGGTTGACAAATCCATCAGCCTTCTCTGCCTGGAATATATACATACAACAAGTATAAATAAATGGGTCAATCCTAGATGCCTGTTAAATACTGAATAAAGATGGTATGGTTAAAATGAGGAAGAATCAAAAGTTACCTCCCTGAATCCACATTACCCACTCCACTCCATTACTCCACTCAGTTTAGGAGAGAAATGACCATCCTCCCAACACATCACCCAGCGTCATTCCAAGAGAAGAGGCATAACACAACTAGGGGGTGGCCAACATATGGCATGCATAGTACTAGCCCCATCCTGTCTTCATAGAAAACACTGCTAACCCATCAGAGCCCTACTTCCTGCTGTGTCTGCAGGCATCCACAGCATGCTTCTGAACAAACAGCTCTAGTAAGCTATAAGCACATACGACCAAACCGAATTCAAATTCATGGGATGGTTGACAGAGCCCTGACTTCGGAGTTAGCAGATCTAGGTACATGTTATGATTCTATCACCTACAGATTGTTATCTGCCTTAAATGAGTCCACATGAACAAAGTACTGAACTGGCACTTTACAATTATTTCCCTGCCCAAATCTATGGGCAGTGCCTCAGGGATTCAGTCACAAATCCACACTTCAGAGACTCTCTGTTCCTGAACCAATCCCTAGGCACTCATTCTACAAAGGAAAGACTTCAAAGAAAACCAGCACTCTAGAGGACATAACATAAATGTCACTTTCAGTTACCAGTTTATAAAAAACAGACTCATTGGCCCACCTCACTAAGAATTTGTATTTCATATTTTATGGATAAAGTTGAACTGAGATGCAAGGAGCAGAGATTAGTTGTCATAGATGAATTCAGTTCTTTCATCTACAAGTGGGGATATACAATCCACAGAGATTAAACATAAATGAGTGAGTGATTATTGGGAAACAAGTAAAAATGGATTTCAAAAATGCAATCTTAATTACAAAATTTGTTGATTTGTAGTTAGTTGCCGTCAGTTCCACTAGCTGCTCAGTTCGGACCATAGGAGTTCTTAGGTCATGTCCTCGACTGAGTCTCTGCTTCTCTTCAAAACAACACTTGCACTCTTCAAAAAAACTAAACTTCTGAAGCATCCAGCCCTAAGTACATCCTCTCTCCTACATGAGTCAGATACAAAGCCTTCACTTCTTATAATACACACAACTCATTCTCATGTCAGTGTTTCCCAAAGTCCTGCCCACAGAAATCTCACTCCAGTGCTCCTTATAGACAATGGCACACTCCTTGAAGTGTGTATCCTCATTGCACAACCCTACCACCCTCCAGTTGATTTTGGCTTATAGCATCCCTATAGGACAGAGCAGAAATGCCCCTAGAGTTTCCAAGGCTGGTGCTCTAGGATCAGCACTGGACTGGGAACCACAAGTTGATGGTTCAAACCTACCAGCTGCTCTTTGGAAACTATTCAGAGTCACTGTGAATCAGAACCAACTCAACAGCACTTAACAACAACAATCTCTATGGAAGCAGACTGCCTCCTCTTTCTCTCACATCACTGTGAATATATATATGCAAAATCTATACCTCAAATTAAGGAACTCTGGTAACAGAATGGTGACAAGTTGGGCTGTTAACCTCAAGGTCAACAGTTTGAAACTACCAGCAGTTCCGTGGGAAAAAGATGAAGCTTTCTGCTCCCGTAAAGATTTCCAGCCTCGGAAACCCTATACGGGGTTGCTATGAGTCGGAACCGACTCCACGGCACAGAACCACCATCACCACCACAACCGTAACCTTAAATGAGGATTCAGACCTGGAGCTCCAGTCACAGTCCCAGAGATTCCACTGTCTATCGAACCTCTCATGTAAGTGTTCCATGGGCCCCCCCACAATTGGTGAGTCCAAAGCCAAACTCCTATTACTTGATAAAAATCCAGCTCCTCTTTTTCCTGAATTCGCTACCTCTGGGATGATACCAATCTCTATCCAAATGCCAGTAGAGGAAATCTGGGAGTCCCTAATTGGCAGTTCCCTCTTAACAACCATATCAGGAATGGCCAAGTCATGTCATTGCTGCTTCTGTCGTGAGCCTACAATCTATGCCCTACCGACCACCTCCTTCTGGTTCCCGTCACCTCACACTTGAATTATTGTACAGTCTCCTAAAGTGACTCCTCCCTCTATTCTTGTCCTCCCTTCCACTTCAGTGTCCAAACCACTATCCAATCTGTACATCATGAACATTCTTCACATCTCTTCTCTAATTAAAACCCCACATGGTTCTCAACTGTCCTTGGATAAGGTTTATTTGCTTTGTTGTTAGAACAAATGTGTAGCATAGCACATTAGCCCACAACACCACATAGCAGGGCATAAAAGTTCTTTCATCATTAAGCACACATTTTTCCTGATTTTAAACCATTCAGTGTCCACAATTTCAGTTTCTCTAATTCCACTGTCCCTACTCAACCAAAAACAACAAAGAATCAGAACAAAGAAAAACCAATGCTTCCATGGAACTAAATTAGAATAGACCCCCAATTTTTGGCATGATGTGTTCCTAAACAATTTATTTTTAGCACAAGATCATCTCAAATGATACCAATGACAAAATCAAGGCATGAAGAATGAAGCAAAAATACAAGCTTTCACTAATATTTTCAATCATGTAAAATGTAAAAATCAATGTAAAAGATAAGGTGTAAATCTTCATTTGGGTGGATTTTTTTTTCTGGAAAGGTTACAAGTTCTTCAAACAAGAGTCTAAGTAAATTCACATGAAAACACCTTATTCTTTTCCTTGTAGATCTTTCCTTTATAAGCAGAAGCATTTTGTCACTTAGGGCATATATTTCTTTATTGAGCTTCACTTCATTGTATTCTGCAGATAATGCTTTTTCTTTTTTTCTTTTTTTACCAGCTGAAGGTTTGTGGCAACCCTGGGTCGATCAAGTTCATCAGTGCTGTTTTTCCAACAGCATGTGCTTCTTTCAGGTCCCTGTGTTACATGTGGGACACACTCACAATATCATAAATGTTTTCATAATGCTATTGCATACCTAATAGATTACAGTATAGTGTAAATATAACCTTTATAAGCAATGGGAGCCCAAGAACATCATGTGACTCTCTTTCTTGGAATAGTCGCTATATTGCAGTGGTCTGGGACTGAGATTGCAGTATCTCGAAGGTATTCTGAAGACATTCAAACTGTCTTCAAAATCAAGAATAACTGTGTCAAAAATTGTCCTTGCTTATTTGACTTGCAAAAATGTCTCAAATTTGTCAATCATATTTGGCAAATCCTGAGGGAATGACAGTTTTTTCTTCATCCTCCTCCTTCCGCTCCTCCTACCTCTTCTCAGATCCCATGTTCGCTGTTACAGTAACTAAAATAACTTTCTCAGATGGTATCCTTCCTCTTTAATGATTCCTAACTTACTGAAAATGTGTTCAAAGTTATACACTGGCATCTGCATACTTCCTTATCAATCCGATTATCCAACAAAACTTGTTTATTTGCCAAAGAATCAGAACATCCTTTGGCCATGCCACAAACATAGCAGCCCAAGTCTAGTCAGAAAGTCTGTACAAGACAATACTTTTCACTTTGTTATATGATGTTCTATAATCTCCTCAGAAATCAGCCCACTCATTTTCTCCCAGCATCCTTGGTTTTATTAGTCGACAGGAAGTGCCACCTGCAGTTGTTGTCATTAAACCAACAGATGTGAAGTCAGTTCAGACTCATGGCGCCCCCATGAGGGTCAGAGTAGAACTGTGCTCCATAGGGCTTTCCAGCTCTGAGTTTTCAGAAGTAGGTCACCAGGCCATTCATTATTTGAGGTGCTTCTGGATACACTCAAACTCCAACTTTCAGTTAGCAACCAAACATATTAGCTGCTCACACCACAAGGTAAGAAATATGTATTTTATCAAAACTGTTCATGTTAACACATTGGGGGGGGGAAATAAAAGTAAGGGCTGCTATCATCTTTCCAATGTTGTGGAGCATATGTTTACATCTCCCATAAGCAGTCTGCTCTCCTACATTTTCATTGACTCCACAAATATTTATTGAGTACCTGCTATATGTTGGGCACTGTGACAGACACTTGGGGCACATTAGTGAGTAAAGGAGGAAGAGATTTCTGCTCTGCAAGGACAAGGAGCCAATAAACTCAACATCAATTGCATGACATGTTAGTAGGTGGTCAATACTGTGGAAAACAGCAGTTGTTCAGGCTGAGGAGATCCTGGAGTATAGTCAGGTGAGTTGTTTACTGCTCCCTCAGTCTCTAACACCCTCATTCCCAGGTGTTAGACATAACCCAGCGAGGATATCCTTGAAAACTCTCCCACTTCCCCTGCCCTAGAGCCTCCTACTTGCCCAGAGAACCAGGTGAGGATTTCTCTACAGTACTTCTCACACTGTATTTAGTTACCTCGTTATTTTTCTGTTTCTCCAGTAGGCTGTAAACACCTTGAAGGAAATACTTTTGTCATTTCTATTATCAATACTGGGGGCAATACATTAGAAATTAATCAATTCATTTTATAAGTGAATGTATCAATAATAGAAACAATCATTTTCCTCTGACAATACAGTATTAACATGAGATTCAAAAATCATTCTGGAAAACAGTTCAACAATTTATCAAACATGTAAACCTGTAATTATCATATAACCCAGTGGTTCCACTCCTAGATATCTAGTCAAGAGAAAGGACACACAAACCTTTGCGTGCAAATGTTTATAACAGCATTACTCATAATAGACAAAAACTAGAAACAACACAAGTATCTGTGAACTGATAAATGAGTAGACACTTTCATATATTCAAACAATATAACACTATTCAACACAATAAAGAAATAGCCTACTGATACATGCTAAAACATGGATAAACCTTGACATTTTTATGGTAAGTTAAAGCCAGACACAAGAGACCCCATATTATATGATACCATTTATAAGAAATGCCTAGATAAGCAAATCAACAGAGACAGAACTGTATTAATAATTGCCTATGGGTGGAGGTTTATTTGGCCAAG